AGCAGCTGCTGTACCACCTCGTGGCGCTAGAACCTTCTGGGCCTTCTAGGAACCTTCTAGGAGCCTTCTAGGAGCCTTCTAGGTGGGTGCTCATGCTGCAGCTGCTCCACACACTCGTGGCGCACGCCGAGCTGGGCAGCGGCAAGGGTGTAGCCCCACATCTCGAGCACCCACCTAGAAGGCTCCTAGAAGGCTCCTAGAAGGTTCTAGGTGGGTGCAGCCCCATCTCGAGCACCCACCCGAACACGCGGCTGGCCTGTTCACAGCTGGAGGTGTGAAGAGACGCTGTTCACATCTCGAGCACCCACCCCCGAACATGCGGCTGGCCTCGTCGTCTCGCTTGAGTGCAAAGGAGAGGCGGAGCCTAGAAATAGAAGGACGCACACGGCGTCCGAACTTCTTTTTTATCGAGGGCGTGAGCGCGAAGGGGGGACGGAGCCTAAAACAGAGGGACGCTCGGCGTGGGCAATTCTTTTTATCGAGGGCGGGAGCGGCGCAAAGGAGGGGCGGAGCCAGCCCGGCGTGAGGCGCCGCAGCAGCGGCAGGTGGATCAGCACCTAGTACCGCACCTCCAGAGTACCGAACCCAGCGTGGGTTCGGTCCCGTGCGTGGTGCGGTATCACCGGCGAGGGCCCGCAAGGGTCGACGACCGACGGGTCGAAGCCGTACCGCGAGACGATGGGGCGCAGCTCGGGCGCCTCGGCCTTCATGTATCCGAAGGGGTAGCAGACCTGTCCACAGCTGCAGGTGTGAAGAGACGCTGCTCACAGCCTTCATGTGCCCGAAGGGGTAGCAGACCTGTCCACGGCTGCAGGTGTGAAGAGACGCTGTTCACAGCCTTCATGTACCCGAAGGGGTAGCAGACCTGTCCACGGCTGCAGGTGTGAAGAGACGCTGCTCACAGCCTTCATGTGCCCGAAGGGGTAGCAGACCTGTCCACGGCTGCAGGTGTGAAGAGACGCTGCTCACAGCCTTCATGTACCCGAAGGGGTAGCAGACCTGTCCACGGCTGCAGGTGTGAAGAGACGCTGTTCACAGCCTTCATGTGCCCGAAGGGGTAGCAGACCTGTCCACAGCTGCAGGTGTGAAGAGACGCTGTTCACACGTCGACTGCGGCACCGGGGTCGCGCACCGGCCGCTGGGGCGTGGCGCGGTTGGGCAGCGGGCGCAGGAAGACGTGGTCCGTCTCCTAAACAAAGAAAGACGCGCGGTAAAACGAAGCACAGAGCTGGCGAGGGGAGGACGCGGCCCGTCTCCGTGATGAGGACGTAGTCCTATAAAAAAGAAATCCGCGCTGGACAAAGAAACAGAAGGCGGGGGCGTCTCCGTGCTGCGGGTGTGACTCCTCGACGATCTGCGGCACCTCGCCGCGCCCCATCTTGGCGAGCAGCTGCGCGACGCCGTGCGGCCGGTTCATCACGGGGAAGCCAAAGTCGCACGTGTCGCCTCGATAAAAAAACGACGCGTGCGTCGCGCCGCACGTGGTTCGTTTTGTCGGTGGGGCCAGGGTCGCAACTGTCGCCTAGAGAAAAAGAAACGCCTGTTTGGCGGCATGTACTTCTTTTGATCTGGGGCCAGAGTCGCAACTGTCGCCTCCCTCGCGGCAGCCGCTGCCGGGGGTCAGCTGGTCGACGAGGACGGTGGGGATCTCAGCCTGCTCACAGCTGCAGGTGTGAAGAGACGCTGTTCACAGTCCCAGGCGAGGACGGTGGGGATCTCAGCCTGCTCACAGCTGCAGGTGTGAAGAGACGCTGTTCACAGTCCCAGGCGAGGACGGTGGGGATCTCAGCCTGCTCACAGCTGCAGGTGTGAAGAGACGCTGTTCACAGTCCCAGGCGAGGACGGTGGGGATCTCAGCCTGCTCACAGCTGCAGGTGTGAAGAGACGCTGTTCACAGTCCCAGGCGAGGACGGTGGGGATCTCAGCCTGCTCACAGCTGCAGGTGTGAAGAGACGCTGTTCACAGTCCCAGGCGAGGACGGTGGGGATCTCAGCCTGCTCACAGCTGCAGGTGTGAAGAGACGCTGTTCACAGTCCCAGGCGAGGACGGTGGGGATCTCAGCCTGCTCACAGCTGCAGGTGTGAAGAGACGCTGTTCACAGTCCCAGGCGAGGACGGTGGGGATCGCTGCCATAAGCGCGTCCGGCCGCCCCGTCGCCTAAACAAAGAAGTACGAGCTCGAAAAAGAAACACGGCGTCACATCATCGCCCGGCTGCCCCGTCGCCTAAACAAAGAAGTACGAGCTCGAAAAAGAAACACGGCGTCACATCCTCGACCGGCCGCCCCGTCGCCTAAACAAAGAAGTACGAGCTCGAAAAAGAAACACGGCGTCACATCCTCGCCCGGCCGCCACGTCGCCGAGTTCAGCATCCGCGTGAAGCCTCCCACCTCGCCGCACGGGTCGGCCGCTCTCTGGCGCTGGTAGTGGTAGTACATGATCCGCGTCTGCCACGCCTGGTAGAGCGAGTCCTACAGTCCCATACCTCCACAGTCCCGAATCCAATGCGGGTTCGGTCCCGTGGGTGGTGTGGTAGAGCGAGTCCTGCGCGGTGAGCAGCACGTGGTACGGGCGGCGCTCGCCCTCGCACCCCGCCGCCGACGCGCTCCCGCGCGCGTGCCGCTTCGCCCGGCCCTCCTTTGCAGCGCTCGGCTGCCGCAGACCTCTCTCAGGCGCCACGGTGTCGGCGGCAGCGCTGGCTGGCTGCGCCAGCAGTGGCTGCGACGCTTGCGGCAGGCCGTTGGAAACCAGGCCGTCCAGCCGTCCGTCGATCGCTTGCAGCCGTTCCTCGAGCCGCAGCTGCGAGGAGTGGATGCGAGAGAACTGCTGCGCCATCCACTGCCGCTGCTGATCAGAATCTCCACGCACGACGGCAGAGTCAAGGCTGTTGTGGGTGATGAAGAGCATCGTGACGAGGAGGAGGACGCTGAGCGCCATCAGCATCGCGAGTAGGCCCTGCATGGACCGGGGCGTCCTGCGAAGAACTCGCACACGCGTGGCCAGCGTGGCCGAGGAGCGTCCACAAGTTGCGGATGTGCATTAAATTCTTTTTTGTTCTAGCAAAAAGAGGGCTACACACGGCCCTCTACGCTGCGTCGCTTTAAATTCTTTTTCGAGGCCGTGTGTCGCTGTGCGACCAGTTCGCGCCAGTTCGCGCCCTTGTCGTGCCAGTGTGCTGTGACGAAAAGGCGCGCCTTAGCGCCGATGGCCGACAACGCTTCTCTCGCCGACCTGGCCCGAGAGCGGCTTGCACGGCGCGGACCGCCGCCGCCGCCTGCCGCACGCTCCGTGGCGCTCCCTGCGGTGCCCGGCTGGAAGCTGCTCGCAGCGGTCCTTGCAGGCTGGGCTGCACTCGCCTGGACGCAGCGGTCAGCTTGCGGCTGCGGCGCCGAGCACAGCCCAGAACAGGCGCTTGCGGACGCGCTGAGCGGCCTTGGCCAGCTGCTGAGCGGCGCGAAAAGTGCCCGGTCCGTGCAGCAGTCCTTTGGCCAGAGCATGGAGCGGCTGCAGCAGAGCTGCGGCTCGCGGCTCAGCTCGGCTGTCTGCCACACCTCCTGCTGGATGGCGGGCAAGGAGCTGCAGCGGTCGATCTGGTGGTCGTGCTTCAGGCGCGGAGGCCACGGCCTGCCTGAGCAGCCGGGTGGCGGTGGGGCAGAGGGCCGCGGAACGGGCGGGCCTACCTCATGGCCGGGGCTGGTAGGGGAGAAGGTCGGGCAGGCCGTGCGCCGCATCTCGAGCGAGCGGCCGGACGTGTCCGTGCGCGTCATGCGGGAGGGCGACATGGCGACGATGGACTTTGATGAGGCACGCGTGCGGGTCTACGCAGACGAGTCGGATACCGTGACGCGTGCGCCCAGCATAGGCTGAGACGCCCGACACGGCACAGGTTCGACGGGTCCATGTGAACGTGAGCCGCGCCCTCGGGCCCGCGGGACCCGTGTCCTTTTTTTGCTCAGCGCGCCGATGCTGTGGCTGTCGGAGGAGGCTGCTCTTCGCAGGCGGTGCATGGGAGGATGGGAGGGACAGACCTTTTTAGCTAGAGTCCCCGCCGCTCCTTTTCACCGACCGCCATCCCACCTGCGAGGTGTCAGTTTTTAACTATTTCCGTGGGACACCCGTCTTTTCCGGCCCCTACGCCGCCACCGCACTAGTGCGCGCTGGGGCACTGTGCGCTCGTGGGACGTGGCTCGTGCCTCGTCTCGTCCGAGGAGGCGAGGTGCGAGGAGCGAGGACCGAGGTGGCATCCGACACCGGGGTTCGTCCGACGCCGCGACGCGGGCGGCCGCCGGTGAGCGCGGGGTCGATTGAGTTCGCTGCCTTCGATTGCCGTCAGAATGCCGGAGAGTAGGGGAAAAGAATTTCCACAGGCCCTGGTGGACGGCGAGAGCATGGGCGGCACGCCGACCGCAGGCGCGAGTCACGCCGCCCATGGGCATGAGCTCACGGGCACCAGCGACGGCCTCGGCAGCAGCACCCCCGGGCGCGACCCCCTCACGCCGCGAAGCCGCCGCCGGCTGCTGCGCCCGCCCGACGGGAGCCTTCGGTTCACGCCCGCGGCTGTCGGGGCGCTCCGAGAATGCGCGGAGGGCATGCTGCCGCCGTCGCTCGGGCTAGAAGTCCTGCGGGATGCACGCACCTACTCGCGGCACTACTCGGGGGCCGAGGTCGACGTCGGGACCCCAGTGCGCCTCCCAGACTTCAGCAACAGCAGCTGGGCCCTTGGCGTCGCCGCCGACGACACCGTTGCCGCCGATGCTGTCGACACCGGTGCTGCCGCTGCGGCCGTCGACGCCGCCACCGACGGTGCCCCGCCCACTGGACGTGCACCGACCGCCGACGCGCACGCCGCGGCTGGTGGCGCCGCCGCCCCATCGCCCGCGCCCTGCGCGGCGGGCGCCACACCCACCCCGGCGCAGGCGGCAGTGGTGGCGGGCACGTCGCGAGCGCCCCAAGACGCGGCGGCACCCACGGCGGGTGACGACACGGACGACGGCGACGTACCGAAGCCAGTCGCCACCGCCCTTGCCTTCCTGTGCGAGCGCGGGTGCCGACCGACTTCCTGGCGCTGCTTTCCACACGCGGCAGCTCGCTGGACTCCCTCGGTGTGAGGGACACCGTAGCTGTGCAGCCGTGATCGACGCCCTCGCCGGTGCGCGCGGTCGCGGCCTAGCCCGCCCGGAGCAATGGCTCTTGCTGCTCTCGATGCCACGCTGGCTCCTCGCGAAGCCGCCCACGGGCGTCACCCCAGCCGCGGCGCTGCATGAGCGGGCGGGTCGCTTCTTCGCGGGTGACTTTGAGCTGCTGTGGGACGCGCACAAGTGGGAGGACAGGCTACCGACGATGGAGTCACACGCGAAGTATGCAGGAGGGCAAGTGATAGGGAGCGGGGCGAGGAGCTGGTCGCGTTCATCCAAGATGCGGCGCGCAAGCGACGACTCGGGCAGGCCGTATCACGCATGATGGACGTCCCGTCGGTCCCGCCCGGCGACCTAGCGCAGGTCGCCCGACCGACCCGCCGACGTCCCCCAACGTCGTCACCAACAAAGCGCCGGCTCTCAAGCCGGTCACCAAAAAAGCGCCGGCTCTCAAGCCGGTCACCGGCGCAGCGGAGGAGCCCGCCCCGGCGGTGAGCGCCTTGCATTCTGCGCCGTGCCCGTCTGCCGACCAGCTCCTCCACCCGCCCTGCTTTCACTGCGTAGGGCGACGCCGACTGGGCCGCCTCGGCGGCCAAGGAGTTTCCAGCGGAGGAGCCCGTCCCGGCGGTGAGCGCCTCGCACGCCGCGGTGCTGCACGCGCAGAGCTCAACTATTGACGCACCCTTGCGCGCGCCCAGGGCATCGCCGACTGGACCACCCCGTCGAACCCGCGCCGCAAGAAGCGCCGCAAGAAGGGGCGCAAGGGCGCGTCCGCCCCGATCGTCCGCACCAAGAGCATCACCCCGGTCGGCGGCAGCAACGGGTTCGGATGCCTGCTCGGAACGGACGGCAACGAGGGCATCCTCGGTGGCAACGGCAAGGTGCGCCGCGGCTCCACGCCGTCGACAACAGACTCGGTGCTCGTCGCCTGCGTATGCGGCCTCCTCCCCCGCTCGCCGCTCTCACACGGCCAGTCTCGCGCCCTCCTGTTCAGGGCATGGTCGAGACGACCACAGTTCCCACGCTGGACAGCTCCGTCTCTGTCTCCGGCCGGTTCTCGTGGCCCAAGCTCTGCTCGTCCTACAACTTGCTCTCCGCCTCTTTGGCATCCTCGCGCTGATCTGCCTCGGAGCCGCGTTTGCGCACTCCTCGTACTCTGCCACCGCCGCGCTTCTCTCCTCGCAGCGGTACGACTCCCCGTGGCCGACATCGCCTCTCGCGACCGTCGCAAAGCCGTTCACGCCGGCATCGCCCAACGGCTTCTGCGAGGTTGGCGGCATCGACACCAGCTCGTTTGTAGCCATCGTATCGTCGGTGCGGAAGCTGGTCGAGACTGGCCTCGGCGCGCCCGTCGCTAGCATGCACGCCGGCGGCGAGTGGCGGGCGAACGACGGATTGACGGACGCTTCTCGAGTCCCAACCAAGGACCTCCTCCTCCAGCGTGGCCGGGCCGTCAACCCTCTTCTCGCGGCCACGCTGGGGGAGCCAGCGTGGCCTGAAGAGGTCCGTGCCGCTCAGGTCGCCGACTCGAACGCGGTCGAGTCCGATCTCTTCTCGGTCTCAAGTGTGTGCGCCGACTGGCAGCCACGCGGCGCTGCCCGTGCGTGGCACGCGAAGCCTCGCCACGCGCTCACCGACGAGCTCTACAAGACCGACAAGCCGCCCGCGGACCCACCGGCCGACGAGCTCTCCATTGACCTACCCTCCCTGTTCCACTTTCCCTTCATGAGCGGACGCTCCTCTTCCGCGCCTGGCCGCGCCCAGCAGTACGGTCAGCTTTGGGCCGCCAGATTTTTGCTGCTCGGAGCGTGCGGCGGCGTGCTGCTCTCGGTGCGGAGGAGCAACTCGGGGCGCCTCGTGCGGTGCCGGACGGGGTCGAGGCGCGGCGCGTGGCTGCTGATTCTCGCCGCGCTGCTCCCGCTGGCATGTGCACCGTCAGTCTACACGTCTGGCTCGGGCGAGTCTGGCTCTGGGGAGATTGGCTCTGGCGAGGTGTCGAGCGCCTATATGAAGGTATGTGAGATGGTGATGGGAATGGGTGGTCGGGCGGGCGGGCGGGCGGGCGGGCGGGCGGGCGGGCAAGCGGGGAGAGGCGGGCGGGCGGGGCCCAAACCTCTCAGCTCAAAGGGGGAATTTATTTGTTTGGGCAGTGTTCGACCGGGCTAGTACTTGCCGGTTTGTTTTAGTAGTTTATAGTCTTGCGGGGTTGCCCTCGGCCGTTCGGCTGATTTATAAGATCCGCGAGACCTCGAGAGAGTAGTGCCCGACGCGCTCTTTTTGATCGAGCAGGGCGTTCGGCTGGCTTCTCTGTGTACTTCGCCACAGGTCCACAGGTCCCTCGCCTTTCCCGTTCCGCTCGCGCTGGCCCCGCGGCGTCGACGCACATATGGCCGCGGGGAGCTGCACGCCCGAGCGGCGCGACGCCTCCTGCTCACGCAACCCGCCGCTCCCTCTCCGCTCCCACCATGCGATGCGCTTCGATTTGGCGCCCGAGCAGCTACGCCCCCCTCGGCCTCACAATTCCTGCCACCTCCCGTTCGCAGGTGAGGCTGCTGCCATCGGGGAGCCGCGAGACGCGGCCGCTGCCGCTCGTTCCCCACCCTTATACCGAGCGAACCCGCCCGATTGCCCCCACTCTTTTCCGGCGAGAGAGCGACGCAGCCCGCTCGCTTGCCAATCGCTGCCCGGCTCCAGTCCTAGCGCCGAGGACACGAGAGAGTGTGCCGGTCGTCGCGATGCTAACGCCGAGGCGTGCTGCCCGTAGGTGTGGCAGTGGCCTGGCTCGACCCTCTCTCTCTCTCTCTCTCTCTCTCTCTCTTTGAGCATCGCCTCTGCCTTCATTAGCAAACTCGCGCGGTCGATTTCTTTTTGTCTGTGTAGGCGAGGCTCGAAGGGGAGGGGAGGGCGTGGGGCGGGGGGGGGGGGGGGGGCTGGGGGGGGGCGGCGGGGTGGAGATTGCGACGATTGATCCAATTCTCGGAGATTCCTCGAGATATTCTCCCCATATACCCCCATATACCCCCATATACCCCCATATACCCCCATATACCCCATATACCCCCTGGACATCTCCATAGCAGTTTTTGACCCTCTTTCACATGGTCATGATCCCGTAGGTGCTGACCTCTCCGTTCGCCGAGTGTTCCGCACAAGTCTCCAGTCCCCAGTAATAATAGTAGTGCTCTGCACAGTCTAGTAACCAGTCATAAGAGGAGTGCTCTGCACAGGCTCCAGTCCTCAGTCATAATAGGAGTGCTCTGCACAGTCTCCAGTAATCAGTAATAATAATGGTGCTCTGCACAGTCTAGTGGCTCTGCACTGTCTCCAGTCCCCAGTCATAATAGGAGTGCTCTGCACAGTCTCCAGTGACCAGTAATAATAGTGGTGCTCTGCACAGTCTCCAGTAGCTCCAACCAGTAGCACTTTACTTCCACACGTTGTCCTTCACACAGCCTTCACATGAACCCGTCACACAGCCTTCTCCATGAGCTGCATCTATTGACTCTCTTTGGCGTGCATACCCCCGCGCGCTGCAGGAACTCGATCAACATGCTCGACAAGCTCAAACGCGAGCTGGTGCCGGCCGCCGGTGACAAGCTCGTGCTCAAGCTCTCTCCTCCTCCGCCGCTTGCTGACAAGCAGGCTTGTGCTTTCGCGCACGTGACAATGCGCTCCCACCTGCAAGACGTATCCTCTGGCCTTCTGGCTGACACAGGCGTCGCTGGCGGGCAACACGACCGTCAACGCTGCCGGAGGCGAGGCCGCCGGCATCCCGTCCGAGGGCAAGCCCGCTTCGCTCGAGGACGTCATCCCGTCCGTCAACCCGTCGGGCGAGCCCGCTTCGCTCGAGGACGTCATCCCGTCCGAGGGCAAGCCCGTTTCGCTCGAGTACGTCGGCGTCGTGTTTGCGGCGTCGGTAGGCGCATCGTTCGCCGGCGCCGAGACCTCGCGGCGCCTCACGTTCACCGTCGACAAAACCTCGTGCCCGCCACTTCCGTCGCCGCCCTTGTCCGTCATCGACTCTGCCGGAGGCAAGCACGACGGCATCTCGTCCAAGAGCGAGCCCGCGTCGCTCAATGACGTCATCGGCAACGGCAATGACGTCCCGTCCGAGTCTGCGCCGACGGCTCCTGTCGGCATCACGTCGCTGTCGCCTTCGCTCCTCGGAGCCGAGGTGAGTGTGCGCACGCCAAGAGCACATTCCGTGCAATCTCCCCGTCTCCGAACAGCTGCGTCCGCTCTCGCCCACAGGCGTGCGGCGTCAAGGTCGACGTCAAGGCCGCGCCCAAGCCCGCAGTGGACACGGCCAAGCCCGACGGCGATGTGGACGAGATCTACTTGTCGTCGCCGCCGTCGCACCTCGGAGCCGAGGTGAGTGTGCGCACGCCAGGATTGTCATCATCTCTACGGTCTCCCTGTCTCCGCACACTTGCGTGTTCTCCCCTCACCCAGGCGTGCGGCATCAAGTCCGCCGCCGCCGAGGAGCTCGCCGCCAAGTCCGCCGCCGCCGAGGAGGACGCCGAGTCGGCCACCGAGGAGGCGACCGCCGAGGAGGCGGCCACCAAGAAGGCGACCACCGAGGAGGCCGCCGCCAAGTCCGCCACCGAGGAGGAGTCCGAGGAGGCAGCCACCGAGGAGTCCGCCGCCGAGGAGTCCGCCACTGAGGAGGCCGTCGCCGAGGAGTCCGCCACCAAGTCCGCCGCCGCCGAGGAGTCCGACAACAAGTCTGCTGCCGCCGAGGAGTCCGCCACCAAGTCCGCCGCCGCCGAGGAGTCCGCCACCAAGTCCGCCGCCGAGGAGTCCGCCACCAAGTCCGCCGTCGCCGAGGAGTCCTCCGCCACCAAGTCCGCCGCCGCCGAGGAGTCCTCCGCCACCAAGTCCGCCGCCGCCGAGGAGTCCGCCACCAAGTCCGCCGTCGCCGAGCCTGCCGTGGATTGCATGGCGCTTGTCCGCTCGGTTGGCCACCTCCCGACCCCGCCTTTACGCCGCCGCCGCCGCCCTCGCCGCCGCCGCTCTCGCCGCCGCTCTCACCGCCGCCTCACACGCGCCATCCTCGCTCATGACCGAAGCCCGCGCGCCTCAGGCGCAGCACGAGGCCAAGAACGAGAAGAACAAGGCGCCGACCAAGGCGGAGAAGAAGGACTGCGCCGCCGGCGTCGCCAACGAGGCTCGCCCCCATCCGCCCTGCCTGCCTTCCTCGCTGCCATCGGCCAGCCTATGCCGTGCGCGGCTGCATCGCACCTCACTCTCCAGCCGCCCCGTCCCCCGCCGTCGCCGCCGCCCGTTGCTGCCGGCCTCGTCTCCACGCCCTCACCACGGCACCGCCCTCGCCGCCGGCGCCCGCCACACCGCCGCCGCCACCGCCGCCGCCGCCGCCGTCATGCGGCTTCAACCCACCTCCCACCCTCCCCGGCACTGCACCTCCCCACCCAATCCACCGCCCCCTTCATAGGTACGAGTGAACTCGATCAACATCATGGCAGAGAACAAGACGGCAGGGAAGGTCGGCATCATGCCGGCCGACGCCTTCTCCGCGCCGCCCCTCGGAGCCAAGGCGGTGCGTGTGTGCGCGTGTCGCAGATCTCCACTCTCCTTCCAGCACGCTCCCCATTCCCCCTCGCAAGGCGTGCGATAAGAATGACGTCGTGAAGGGCGTCCCCGAGGCCAAGTCTGGCGCGGAGGCCTCCCTCGACGAGAGCACCCTCAAGAAGGACCCGGCCGCGGAAAAGGACCCCGCCGCGGACAAGGTCGACTCGGGCAAGGCCAAGGCCATGTCCTCCGCCCACGAGCCGAGCCCGAACGCCGTTTTCTGGTCCAAGCTTGACCCGCCGACGTCCCCCAACGGCACCAAAGAAGCGCCGGCTCTCAAGCCGGTCACCGAAGACGCGCCGGCTTTCAAGCCGGTCACCGCCGGCGGCGCGCCGCTGCCGTCGATCAAGGAGTTTCCAGCGGAGGAGCCCCCCTCTTCAGTGCGCCTCGCACGCTGCGGTGCACACGCGGAGCCCCAACTATGACGCACCCACCGTTTGCGCGCGCGCAGGGCATCGCCGACTGGACCACCCCGTCGAACCCGCGCCGCAAGAACGGGCGCAAGGGCGCGTCCGCCCCGATCGTCCGCACCAAGAGCATCACCCCGGTCGGCGGCAAGAACAGGTTCGGGGCCCTGCTCGGAACGGACGGCAACGAGGGCATCCTCGGTGGCACCGGCAAGGTGACCGGCGGCTCCACGCCGCCGACCGCAGACTCGGTGCGCGCCGCCTGCATTTATGCGGCCTCCTCCCTCGCTCGCCGCTCTCACACGGCCAGTCTCGCGCCCTCTTGTTCAGGGCGCGACGGTCGACGTCGAGACGACCACGAATACCACGCCCGAGGGCTCTGCCGCCGGCCGGTTCCCGTGGTCAAAGTCCTACAACTTGCTCCGCCTCTTTGGCATGCTCGCGCTGCTCTGCCTCGGAGCCGCGTTTGCGCACTCCTCGTGCTCTGCCACCTCCGCGCTTCTCTCCTCGCAGCGGTACGACTCCCCGTGGCCGACATCGCCTCTCGCGACCGTCGCGAAGCCGTTCACGCCGGCATCGCCCAACGGCTTCTGCGAGGTTGGCGGCAACGACGCCAGCTCGTTTGCAGCCATCGTGTCGTCGGACAGCGCGCCCGCCAACCACCCGGTGCGCGCTCGCTCGCGCGTGCTAGTATCCCCACCGCGCAAGCTCGTGACTAACAGCCCGCGCGCTGATCAGGGCGAACGCGAGGACGGGCGCTGGGAAGCACTACTGATGGACGAGATCGACGAGGCGGTGGGCGAGCCGTTGCACCTAATTGGCGAGCCGCTGGCGTCCGTCAAGGAAATTTACGAGAAGCAGCCGGTGAGCGCCCCTCTGGCTGTTTTTGTGCGAGCTTTGTAATCCGGTTCCGGATTGTGCCTGTTCTTGGCGAGTAGGTTGAGGCCGATTTGGAGACCGTCCCGGCCTCGCGCAACAGCATGGAGCGCAAGGGCGAGCCCGAGATCGACTCTATCGGTCCCGTCTACAGCAGCAGATCGGGGATCATCGTTCGCGAAACCGTCCTGCCCGTGAACGGCACGTCGCCCGAGATGCGGTCCGCCGACGCTGGGAACACGCCCGAGAAGCTGGTTGAGACTGGCCTCGGCGCGCCCGTCTCTAGCATGCACGCCGGCGGCGAGTGGCGGGTGAACAGATTGGCGACCGCTTCTCCAGCCACAACCAAGGATCTCTTCCTCCAGCTTGGCCGGGCCATCGGCCCTCTTCTCGCGGAGCCGGCATGGCCTGCAGAGGTCCGTGCCGCTCAGATCTCCGATTCGAACTCGGTCCAGTCCGATATCTCCTCCGTCTCACGTGTGTGCGCCGACCGGCAGCCACGCTGCGCCGCCCCCGTTGCGTGGCATGCGGAGCCTCACCACGCGCTCACCGACGAGCGCTCCAAGACCGACAAGCCGCCCGCGAACCCGCCGGTCGACAAGCTCTCCATCGACCTGCCGTTCCACTTTCCCTTCATGAGCGGACCCTCCTCTTCCGCGCCTGTCCGCACCCAGCAGCGCTGTCAGTTTTGGGCCGCCTTGTTGTTGCTGCTCGGAGCGTGCGGCGGCGTGCTGCTCTCGGTGCGGAGGAGCAGCTCGGGGCGCCTCGTGCGGTGCCGGACGGGGGCGAGGCGTGGCGCGTGGCTGCTGATTCTCGCCGCGCTGCTCCCGCTGGCATGTGCACCATCAGTCCACACGTCTGGCTCGGGCGACTTCCAGGTCACTGTGGGTGGCGGCAGCTACCCGTCCGAGGTGTCGTGGACCCTGACGTGCAGCGGCGCGTTGATCGGCAGTGGAGGGGCCCCCTACTCCGGCACCCTGTCCGCGCCGCCCGGCGAGTGCACGCTCGACATGTACGACTCGTGGGGCGACGGCTGGAACGGCGACGAGTGGGAGGGTGCGGGCTATACGTTCACGCTCGGCTCCGGATCCTACGGCAGCGAGACGTTCATCCTCGCCCCTTTCCCTCCGTCCTCTCCGTCGCCGCCGTCGCTGCCGCCTCTGCCGCCGCTCTCCCCGTCGCCGCCTCTTGCCCCTCCGCCGCCGCCGTCCTTGCCGCCTCCGCCCTCTACGCCGCCGGTGTTCCCCGGCTTCGATGTCGCCGCGGCGAGCGAGGCTAAGCTCCGCTCCCTGATCACGGAGGCTGCTACTTCGCAAGCCGACGTCGCAATCTACCTGCCGCCCAGGGCAGACTTCAAGCTGGGCAGCCAGATCAGCTGCTCCTCCGACATCAAGGTGACCGTCGCGAGCAGCGGCGAGGGCGCGACGCTCGACGGCCAGGAACAGACCGGGCTCTTTCGCCTCTCGGGCGGCTGCAGCCTCACCCTACGGGGGCTGACCCTCGTCAACGGGAGGGCGGACTACGGCGGCGTTGTGGACGCGGAAGGCGCAGGCGACGTCGAGATCATCGACTCGACGGTCAGAGACTGCTCGGCTGGCGAGGTGCGCCGCGTAGAGCTAGCCGCGCGCCCATGCGGCGCCGCACGGCAGCGGGGTGAGAGGTAGAGAGGGCCACGGCTGCCTCACCCCGCTCTCTCCTCGCAACCGCAGGACGGCGGCGTCGTCTACGCGTCTAGCAGCGGTGCGGTCTCGATCATCGACTCGGCCGTGACGGGCTGCTCTGCTGACAGGGTGCGCCGCGTAGAGCTAGCCGGCCTCCAGCAGCGCCGCAAGGTAGCGGGGCGAGAGATAGAGAGGGCCACGGCTGCCTCACCCCGTTCTCTCCTCGCAACCGCAGTTCGGCGGTGTCGTCTACGCGTGGAACAGCGAGTCCCTCTCCATCGCGGGTGTCGCCTTCATCGACAACAGAGCGGGAATGTCCGGCTCGGTGCTGTACCTGGACGAACTCCGCCTCTCGATCAGCGCCGCCTCCTTCACCGGCAACACCGCTGGCGACGACAACGACGGTGCCACGATACAGACCGACAAGCCGATAGACTGGGACTGCCGCTTGGGCAGCTGGATGCCGCGCAAGGGCTCCTTTTTTGGCGACTTCAGCGTTCCCGAGTGCAACCTCTGCCCTGCTGGCTACTACGGCAACAGGAGCGGCCTCACCAACTCCTCCTGCGAAGGTGCGTGTAAGCGAGGCCACTTTTGTCCCAAGGGCACAGCGGAACCGCTCCCGTGTGCGCCTGGTTTCTACATGCCCGTGATTGGCGCAGCCAGTGCCGAGTCGTGCCTCCCTTGCTCTCCGGGGACGAGCCAGTCCACAGCCGGCGCGGTCCACCCCTGCGACGAGTGCCCTCCTGGCACGTTCGCCGATCAGCTCAACGCCACCGGCTGCACCGACTGCCCCGCGGGACGCTTCTGCCCGAATGCAGGCACCATCCAGCCCCTCGACTGTGACGCAGGGCAGTACCAGAACCTCACCGGCCAGGCTGCGTGCGTGCAGTGCCCTGCTGGCGAGTTTCAGACGGAGCGTGGGCAGACGTCGTGCGATTTGTGCGCCGCGGGTGGGTCCTGCGAAGTCACAGACGACTGTGGCGGCGGCTTCACGCCCTGCCTTGCGGGGAGCTACAACGAGAAGACGGGCAGCAGCTCACCCGACGCCTGTCAGCAGTGCCCCCCCGGAACCTCTAGCCCGACCGCCGGCGCAGACAGCAGCGAGACGTGCGCGCGCTGCCGTGCTGGGACATTTGGCGGCGAGCCCGGGCTGAGTGAGTGCACGGACTGCCCTGCCGGCAGTTATCAGAACGATACGGGCGCGACGTCCTGCCGCGAATGCGAGAAGGGAAGCTACTGCGCCAAGGGCGCGTCGGCGCCGCTGCCTTGCGACGCGGGTACCTACTCGGACAAGACGGACCTCACCGCCGCCTCGCAGTGCACCGACGCCTCGCCGGGCCACTTCGCCACCACCGGCTCCACGCAGCAGACGGCGTGCGCCAAGGGGTCGTACATGGACGCGTACAAGCAGGGCGAGTGCACGCCCTGCGCCGCCGGCACGTACCAGGACGAGGAAGGCAAGACGGCGTGCGAGCCGTGCGAGGCGGGAAGCTACTGCGCTGTTGGCGCGGCGGCGGCGCTGCCGTGCGAGGCTGGCAGCTACTCGAGCGCCACCAACCTCACCGCCGCGAGCGAGTGCACCGCCGCCTTGCCGGGCCACTTCGCCACCACCGGCTCCACCGAGCAGACGGCGTGCCGCGAGGGCAGCTTCGCCAACGGCACCCGCAACGAGGCGTGCGAGCTGTGCCCCGAGGGGTACTACCAGGTCCAGCCCGCCGCCGCCGCCTGCGTCCGCTGCGCTGCTGGCAAGTTTTGCCCTCAGGGGTCGTCGCGCGAGCTGGACGCGCAGTGCTCGCCTGGCACGTACGCCAACGCGACGGACGCCGACGGCGACCCCGAGTGCCTCGAGTGCCCCGCCGGCTCGTCGTGCGCGGGAGGTGGCGCCGCGCCTGCCGTGTGCTCTCCGGGAACCGCAGCCACGCCTGCTCAGGGCCAGTGCACCGTCTGCGGCCTCGGGACGTACCAGTCGGACTCCGGAGCCGCGGGCTGCCTCGAGTGCGCGCCGGGTACGTTCTGTCCCAAGGGAAGCAGCGCTCAGCTGCCGGCGAGCTGTCCCGCGGGCTTCTACAACGGGAAGGCGTCCTCCACGCTGGAGAGCCTCGACGATTGCGTCGGTTGCGCGCCTGGCAGCTTCTGCGCCGGCGGCGCCGCGCAGCCAGCGCCTTGCGCTCCAGGCAGCATCGCCCCCTCGGCCAACATGTCTGCTTGCGAGCTGTGCCCGATCGGACGCTTCGCAGCCTCCTCCACCGAGTGCGAGGAGTGCGAGGCGGGCACCTACGCGGCGAGCGAGGGCCTGTCGCAGTGCACCCCCTGCCCTTACCCTACCGGCTCCGACAGCGGCGACGTCACCTGCTCCATCTGCAAGGAGGGCTTCTACCTGCGGGACGCGAGTGCCCTTCCGGATGATATCTTTCGCTTCCCGACCGAGCACTGCAAAGCGTGCCCGCTGAACGCCAACTGCGCGACCAATACCACTCTCGAGACCCTCGGCGTCCGGCGCGATTACTGGCGCGCCTCGCCCCTCACCACCAAGATCCACAAGTGCGACGCTTCCGACCACTGCAGCGGCTCGAGCGGTTCAACGGAGACCTCTCGCCGCCTCCTCGCGGCGTCTGGCGGCGCCGGCCCAGGCTGCGACCTCGGTCACACCGGCCCGCTCTGTGAGTGGTGCGTGAGCGACGAGCAGTACTTCAGCCGCGCGGAGCGAGGCTGCGCCGACTGCCCGACGACGGGGCAGTTCGGCATCCTGGCGGGAGTCGTCGTCGCTCTTGCAGGGACAGGGCTCGTCTTGTACCGCACCCTCGCCCGCGCCGAGGCGTGGGGCCGCCTCAGAGCACGTCTTGACATCTGCGAGTCGCAGGTCGGCGTGCAGCCCCCTCTGTCACCCTGCACTGCCTCTTCTCCTGCCGTGGACTTTCTGCCGATCATAGAATGGGAGTAGCCCGTCGCTGCCTCACATATTGCGTGTGGCGAGACACCTTTCGCATCATTTGCCTTAGGTCGGCTTCCAGCCCAAGTTCAAGATCCTGGTCAGCTTCTACCAGATCGCCGCGACGCTCGGCCCCGTCTACGGCGTCCGCCTCCACGAGGACTTCACGCGCTGGACCGACTTCATGGACGCGATCAGCCTCGACCTAATCGGCCTCACCTATCCTGATGCCTGCATCGGCTCGATGGGAGACCGGCTCCTGCTCGCAGGCTTGTGGCCGATCCTATCTATCATGCTCGGAGGCGCCTCCCTCGCCTGCTGCGCCCTCGCGGAGTGGCTTCTGTCTGGTCGCGCCGACGCCCTCCGGCGCGACCTTGTGCGCGCTACGCTGCGTCGCCTCCTCTACTGGGCCATCCTCGTTGCCTACCTCGTGCTGCCCTCGGTCTCCCGCTCCATCTTCAAGGCGCGGCAGTGCGAGTCGTTTAATATCGACGACTTGACCGGGGACAGGCGCTCCTACCTCGTGGCCGACCTCGACGTGCTCTGCAGCGCCGACGACGACGAGTACAGCGGCCTCGACGCGTACTTCTGGGCCTTCTTTGTCCTCTGGCCGGTGCTCGTGCCGCTAGCCTTCCTGGCGCTCCTGCTTTCGATCCGCTCCGAGGTGCTGGCGCAGCGAGTTAGGGCCACGGCCCGAGCCAGCCGCTTCCTCTGGCGCGACTACGACCCGCGCTTCCTCTTCTGGGAGGTCGTCGATCTGGGCCGCAAACTCTTCCTCGCTTCACTGGTGCTCTTCATTCAGACAGACGACGGCTCGAGCAAGCTGCTCCGCCTCCTTGTCGCCTCTGTTGTCTCGGCCCTCTACCTCGCCGCCCTCGCCCTCGCCCGGCCCTTCAAGCGCGACGACGACCTCTACCTCGCGTGCACCGCCAATCTGTTTCTCGCATGCTGCTTCATCTCCGGCATGGTGATTCAGCTGTGCGAGAGCGCCGCCTACGAGGACATGTGCAAGGCCCTCGTCGGCTTCGAGAGTGCGCGCGGCGCGAGTGAGTTTGTGATCGCGCTCACCGCCGCAATGCTGGCCGTGTCGCTGCTCGTCGTCGTCTTCAAGACTGTCAGCGCCATCCGCGCGCCCACCATCCGCCTCTCCTCCTCCGGCCGTCCCCCAGTCCTCGAGCTGTCCCCCGAGTGCCACTTCCACGGCTTCATCTCGCACTGCTGGGGGACCGGCCAGGACCAGACGCACACCGTCGTGCGGCAGCTCCAGCTTCTTCTCCCCGGCGTCCGGATCTGGCTCGACGTCGACAATCTCGAGGACGTGGGCAGGCTCGAGGAGTCGGTCAGAGACGCGACGACCTTTCTCGTCTTCCTCAGCGCGGGCTACTTCAAGAGCTTCAACTGTCGCCGCGAGCTGTACGCTGCGCTAGGCTCGAACCGGCCCTTCATCCCGATCCAGGAGGCTGACGTCGACAAGGGCGGCGCCTCGATCGAGGCGCTGAAGGCAGAGTGCCGCGAGCACTGCGTCGAGACCGCCCCGCCGGCCTACCCCTCCTACAGCGGGCCAGGCGAGATGCTCGCGCGCGTGTTTGAGGCGACGCCGCCGATCGTGTGGGTGCGGGTGAACGCCTTTCAGCTCGAGTCGCTCAAGGCGGTCGCGCTTCGCATGCTGTTGCACTCTCCTTACTACGCGAGCCGCCCGGCCGAGCTCGCCGACGGCGTGATGGTGCCCGGCCAGGCGGGCCCCGTTGCCTTCAGCGGCCCCGTCACCATCCTCGCGTGCCGCGACAACGAGAGCGCCGTCGGCATTGCAAGAGAGCTCAAGACGGCGGCGAGGGAGGGGCGCGGCTCTACCGCCAGCGCCGAGACGGTAACGATCCGCGATGCGGAGGAGGCGCTCGAGGGAGTCAACGCGGCCCCGCTCTCCGGGCACGTAGTTTTTCTGCTCTACCTGAACGATAAGACCTTCCTGGACGCCGGCGGCGCCGTCGCGCGCCTCGTGCAAGCGGCGATGGACCGACGCATCGCCGTCGCAATGGTCCACGAGCAGGACCCTACCTGCGGCGGCGTTCCGTTCCGCAACTTTTTCCAGCAGACGCCGCAGGTGCTGCTGCAGCAGCCGTACAAGCTTTTCGACACGGTGGCGGTGCCGCTCTACCCGGCTCCGGAGCACCGCACCGTGAGCCGCCGCCTCGCGCTGAGCAGCATGGGAGCGGTGCCATGCGATGCGGGGCCGCTCCAGCGGCGGTGGCAGCTCCTCCGCCGCCGCATAGCGGTGGCGCGCCTCGTGCGGCGGCGCCCCGCCGAGCTGCACCAGCAGCCTGTGGTGCAGCCGTAGAGGACGTAACTTGTGGCGAACCTAGGGGCGCGCCGCGAGTGCAGTGGAGGTGGGTGCCGAAAGAGTGACGATGTGAGGAGATCGACCGAGATGTGTTCGCTGTACGCCTATCTAAGAATTTTGCTGTTCGGAATTGGGAGAAGCTCGCTTAGATTTCCTTTTGCGTTTTACTAGATACTACTGACGTACGTAAAGTATAATTCTGGTATAATTGCGCCCCCCGTTTGTAGAGGCTAGATCTCTTTGCGCCTGAAGCCTGGAGAGCAGCTCCTATGCTGCTCACACGCTCTGCACAGTTGGCACAGCCTACTGTGCGGCTGCCACAGCTGTGACAGCGATGGGCTCGCCCTCACTGGCCCTCAGTCACTTGTGCTGCGGCTTGTGTGAGCGACACTGCTCGGCGACTGCCGGCACACTGTGAGACCATGGAGCCCACCACCGGTGACCTGGTGGCGCTGCCGTCGACACGGCTCCCGCCGGCCTGGATTCTCGTTGCCCGGGACCGCGACATACTCGACGAGTCGGGCGCCTTGGCCTCACGAGTCGCGCGCCCGCCTCACGTCGCAAGCGCCTCGCGCAGCGAGTCGATCTCACGAAACGCATCTTGCAGCTCCCCGTCGCATGCTTGCCACCCCGCATGCGCCTCGCGCAGCGTCTCGCTATGAATCGCCATGCCGCTCCTCTGCCCGATGCATTCGCCACCAATACCGGAGCTCCACGTCGACGAGCAGATTGCAGATTCCTTACGCATTGGGTTGCTGCTTGCCATAAACTCCCTAAACCTGGCTCCCAGCTCGTCGTTGCGCTGCGCGAGGGCCCTCTCCGCCGACTGTTCAATGGCCGAGCAGGTGCAGCGCTCCCACTCGCAGTCGCAAAGCGACGTGGGATAGAAGTCTCGATCTCGGCGGATGGCGTCGGTTCCGGTTCGGGCTCGCTGTCCGTCTCCGTCGCCTTCGGCTTCGGCACGTCCTGCAGCGCGTCCGGCACCACGGCGAGAAGCGCCTCCTCCGCGCCGTCTGCTGCCTTGCGCCGCTTGCACGTGGGTAGCTCCCTCTCGACGCCGGCCGCGTGCGTCTGAGCCGCTTGCCGTACGCGACCGCCTGGCCGTGGCGCGCGCCCGCAAGTCCCACATGAGGAAGGTCAGCGCCGCCTTGTTGAGGTCCCGCAGCTCGAGGAGGGCGTTCGTGAGCGACGACGACGCGGCATCAGGGCGAGCGCGCACCCCGGCTGCAGGTGGAGCGACGCAGCCGACCAGCCGTGCCATCCGACGGCACTGCCGTTGCGCCAGGCGCGCTGCTGTCCGCCATCGCCGCCCGCGGGGGCAGCAGATCGGCGAAAGATGGGCAATGGCGACCGGTGGAAAAGCCGGCGCGAATTGCGCATCGAATAAAATCGAAGCGAACATACACCCGGAGAAGTTTGCGCGGGGCCTCACGCGGCTCACGAAGGAGATGGCCGGTGTGGGGCATCCTATCCCCGCCGCGGAGAAGGCGGGGGCGCGCATAGCAGGCTGGTTCAACGCTGACCAGGAGAAGGAGCTTGCGTTCCGTGCCGGCTGTCCCGAGTGCTCCGAGTGTGACGTGGCGTGTGCTGTGTGCAAGCGCCAGCTTCGGCGTGCGCGGGCTTAGGCTGTCCCAACGGCTTACTGGGAGTGAATCCAGTGTGCAGCAGCTTGCGTTGTGCTCGCCACAGAGCCCGCTATCTCTCACGACACTTGGAAAGAAAGTCGCCGAGCTACGGGGTGCACAGGGCAGAGGCTCAACGGCCGTGCGTCGGCTCGTCGAGTTTGGAGAGGGGGAAGGGGGGATTGGGCAGTCGGCGTATGGGGTCAGTCTTTCACTTGCCTGCCTCGCAAGGGCGGGGCTGCCCCGTGAAGCCGGGCAGCGTGACGCCGCCACCTTTACCTCCCATACACGTATTTGTTAGCTTCTTTGTATTTGATAGCTTCTTTTGAGGGCAGCGGGTTGTCGTGTATGTGCGGGTGTTCGAGTGCGTGTGGGGTGTGTGTTTGTCAATAAGTTTGTGCAGGGCAGCGCAGGGCGGGGGGGGGGGGGGGGGGGCGCAGGGCAGAGGCTCAACGGTCGGGGGCTCGTCGAGGTTGGGTCCAGCAGAAAAGGCGAATGCGATCGCGTCGCTTTCACACCTTTGACGGGTGCAAGATTGGCGGGCGGCAGGCGCTATTCCGGCGACGTCAAGGTCGTCTGTCCCCTGAGCAGCAGCGGGGAGCACGGTCGGAAGCTAGGGCGCTTTTGTCGCTTTCGGGGCTAGTTTCCGGGGGGGGGGGGGGGGGATTACACAAAAAGAACTTAGCTCTTTTAGGGGTAGGCCACCGCCAGAAGAATTCTCGTTCGCAAAAAAGAAAGCATCCGAAATCGGCGGACACGCGCACAGACTCACAGCACACAACTCTCATGGCAGATCGACGCCGTCCGGACCGCGGCAACTCCTCCCGCTGCAGCGCAAGCTGTTGGGCTGCTCCTCCGCCCCGCCGACGGCCGACGCGCCGCCGCCGCCGTCCTCCGCCTCCGCGATCCAAGCGCCGACCGAGCGCAGCGTCTCACGCATCTCCTCAAAGTCCACCTACTCACACCGGAGAGGGCGGCTGCGGGTCTGCGGCGCGCGCCCTCGTCCCAACCTCTGAAAATCCGCCGAGCCTCGTCGTACCGATCGAGCCGCTGCCGGTACCCTCGGAAGGGCCGCGCCCCGTACACGCACGGCTGCGGCGCCGGCGGCTGCGGCGCCGGCTCCGGCGCGGCCGCGCGGCGGCGGGCGAGCGGGCATCCGTCCGCGTTGTTGTTGGTGAGGTGGTAGACCAGCGCCGTCGGCGCGAGGGCGCGCCAGTCGCCGTGGCGAGGGAACTCGGCGTGCGGCAGCAGGCCGACTCGCAGGCAGCGGCCGCGGCCCTCGGCACACCGCTTTGGCCGCAGGCTGCCCACGCTGGTCTCGTTGGCGAGCTCGGACGCCCCGCCTGTGGGGAGATGTGGGGAGGCGTGGGGAGGTGTGGGGAGATATGGGGAGATGTGTGGGGGTGTGGGGAGATATGGGGAGATGTCCCGCCTCCGACGTCGAGCGCCGTGTGGGCGATCTCGTGGCTGTAGCCGTACTGGTCGGGGATGTTGTTCCACCGCAGGTAGAACTCGATGAGCCCGCGCCGCACCTATCCACGCCTCGGGGTGTGAAGAGGCGCTGTCCACAGGTAGGCTATCCACGCCTCGGGGTGTGAAGAGGCGCTGTCCACAGGTAGGCTATCCACACCTCGGGGTGTGAAGAGGCGCTGTTCACAGGTGAGGGCCTCGGTGGGCCCTCGCCGCACCGCGTCGTCGACCAGCCGCATCTCGGGTAATCTCGGGTAATCTCGGGTAATCTCCGCTAATCTCTGGTCATCTCTGGTCATCTCCGCTCATCTCTGGTCATCTCTGGTCATCTCCGGCAATCTCACCGCATCGTCGACCAGCCGAAGCACCAGCTGCGACCGACCCGCACCGGCCGAGCCGCGCAAGAAGACGAAGCCGGCGTTGACGGCCGTGCCGAGGCCTGTGCGAAGAGAGACAGGAAGAGGCAGGCACCCCTCCAAGGCTGGGCGACGGCTAGCACCACCACACTCCTCTCCTTAACATCCCTGTGTGGTGGCGGCGTGCGCCGTCCTCCCACCCCCTCCCTTGGGCTGCGTGCCATCTTTCTTTCTTTTTTCCGACGCCTGTGCGCGGCCAGTCGTCTCGCTGGAGGAGCACGTCGAGCTCCTGCGGGAGATATGGGGAGATATGGGGAGATATGGGGAGATATGGGCAGCCTAAGTCATCAAGACGGCCGAGGTCGGGGCGGGAGTGCTCGCGGAACACCGACGAGTACAGCAGAGTACGCGTCTCTCTCGAGGGCCAGGAGGGAGAGATGCTCCGTAGTCCGCTTCCAGGGTCGAGATCCGGGGAGATCAGGGGAGATATGGGGAGAGCGTCCGCTTCCAGGGTCGAGATTCGCGGAGATATGGGAGATATGAGGAGATGTGGGGAGATCTAGGGTCGAGATGCCGCGGGCGCGCCGACCAGCCGCGGCAGAAAGTCTTTGAGGAACACCGCCGTCGCGTCCGTCAGCAGCACGTCGTGTCCCGCCTCGCGACCAGCGAAAAGTAAACATGATATCACAAAGTATAATATTAATTAATAGCACGTCGTGTCCCGCCTCGCGACCAGCGAAAAGTAAACATGATATCACAAAGTATAATATTAATTAATAGCACGTCGTGTCCCTCCACGACCCGCGCCGCCGCGGCGAGATTACCCGAGATTACCCGAGATTACCCGAGATTAGCCTGGATGTGGCGCTGCAGGCAGGTGCGGTTCCACGCCGCCAGCAGCGCGCCGCCGTCAAAGGAGGGCACGCCCCGCCGCAGCAGCAGCTCGTGCAGCGCTCGCTCCATCGAGAGGACGAGCGCGCCGCGGTAGCCCAGTCTGCGTGTGTGCAGGGACCAGTTGATGTGGGGAGATGTGGGGAGATGTGGGGAGATGTGGGGAGATATGGGGAGGTGTGGGGAGGTGTGGGGAGATGTGGGGAGATGTGGGGAGATGTGGGGAGATGTGGGGAGATGTGGGGAGATGTGGGGAGATGTGGGGAGATGTGGGGAGATGTGGGGAGATATGGGGAGATGGGGAGGTACGGCGCCTCCGTGCGTGCAGGTACCAGTTGAGGGCGAGCTCGCGGTAGTCCCAGTCAGCCGCGGCGAGAAGCACCTGTTCACAGCTTGGGGTGTGAAGCGACGCTGTTCACAGTCCCAGCCAGCCGCGGCGAACAGCACCTATCGCGGGCGGGAGTCCCGGCGGGCGGTTCTGCACAGGCTGTGTGGAGTCGTGTGGCACCGGCCGCCAGTGGCACCGGCCCGCCGCGAGGCGCGAGGCGCGCCGCCAGCGCGACCAGGCCGGCGTACTCGACGTTCGGGCGGGGCCGGTGCGGCGGTGAGCGGAGCCGAGACTGCACAAAGCCCTCGCGGTGCTCGTACGGCTGCTCCCACTGCTTGAACTTGCCGTGCTTGTCCATTGCGTGCTTCAGGTTGCCCTCGCCCGGGCGGCAGTCGCGCGAGCCGCACCGCACGGTGTGCGTCGGCGTCACCGGCAGCGGAGGGAGGCCGCGCCGCGCCCGCGCCTGCCGCGCTTCCTCTTCAGCCCTCGTGGCGCGGTCAATCTCCCGCCATTTTGCGGGCGACCAGGTCTCCGACTCGGCGGTGATCATCCGTGCGACCGGCGTGTTTTGAGCGGTTCGGCCCGCGGCGAGCAGGGGCAAGAACACAGATGAAGTCATTGGCGGGTTTTTGCTAAGGTGTACAGGTCCTGGCTTTGGTTTCACAACACGTTTGGTCCTCGCTATGGTACGGCTCACCAGATGCGACAGGAGGGCTAAAATCCGGAATATAGACTGCCAAGAGGGTGCTCTAGGCCGCGAAGACACCACACACGGTCTCCCTACTCATGCGCGGCTAGCAGGAGGGTGCCAAAAATGAGGCGCGTTGTGAAACCGCAGCTGGCCCCGCCGACGGGTAGCACAGGTCATGAGTGAGGCCACGCCAGCTGCCTCGGGTGCTCTGTGTGGTCGGCCTGGACCTTGCCGCAAGCCTCGAGCAGCGGAGAAGCACTGTCCTTGAAGTCCAGACATGCTTCGCCGCCGTGGCGCAGCGCCGCAGTGCGAGCGAGCACTGCAGTGCAGTGATCGCTTGGACTGCGGCACCCATCGACTCCCTGCGCTCCGGGCACATTGGCACATGTGCCGGCGGCCTTGTGGATGGCTCGGACACGATCTGCACGATGGCGCGGCGTCGCGAGGCGGCCGTGTTGTGAAAACGAAGCTGTTGCGAAACCGAAGCCAGGACCTGTAGATCAGGTTCCACAGCATCGTCCCACACGTAGCTCAGCGGTCAGGTGAAAAGGGGTTTTTGCTAACGGCCTCCCACACACGCCACCCACACCGGATATGTCTTGGGCATTTTTCGCACTTTTCTTTCTACGTCGGTCGGGGTCCCGTGGATCGATTTTTATAAAATGAACTCGGGGGCACGCAACCCGGGGCTGCTCCGCGCCATGTGCATGGCGTTCGAGTGAACGCCGTGCAGGCAGCCCGTGCCTTTTGGTGTACCCCGTTTGTGCCGCGTCCTGTGCCCCCGAGTTCATTTTATAAAAAAACTATAGGATACTGCGGCGCCCCATGGGCGCCGGGCCCCGCCCTCGACGTGTCTAGTGACAGCGATGGAGAAGAGATTTGTGACGGGTAGCGTTGGGACGAGCAACACGACGCCGACACACACACCGATCTCGTGGCAAGAATAGGTCAAGAGATCAGTCAGACAGAAGTCAAATCAGAAAAGAGAGGAAAAGGAACACTCCGGGCCTTCGTAACCGAAAGGTGAGCTGAAGTGCTCAAGAGTATCTGCGTCGTACTTGAGATCGCAATCCGATCTAACAAATCGCAAATCGCTCGTGGCGGGCGTCTCGTGCAACGGTGCATTCATTAATTAGCACCTCGTACGGCGACATTGCATTGATCACTCGACATAGATCAGACCGGATCTGAGCCTTCAAGTCCCTAAGCTGTGGAGGGTCGAAAAGAAAGAAAACACGCAACCCAAGGGAGGGATGGGAGGACGGCACGCCGCCACCACACAGGGATTTTAAGGAGAGGTGTGTGATGCGCTAGCCGTCGCCCACCCTAGGGAGTCTGCCTCTTCCTATCTCTCTTCGCAGTCTCTCGCCGCTTCTCGCTGCAACCTTCATGCCACCTCGCGGTCGTCCCACTCTGTGGAGGGTCGAAGATTGCGCCAGAACGGTCGAGCATATTTTTCTTCCACTCTTTCTCGTCTTTCGCTTTGAGTCTGGCGAGTACAGACCACGCCTCACTTTTTCACAGGGGGGGATCCGTCTGGAAAAAGGAGCATGCTCGAGCCCTCGGCGAGGGCTTGTGCTGTGAGTGAGTACACTTGTGCTGTGAATGCAGGCGTGGCTGTACTCGCCAGGCTTTGAGTAGCTCTTTGAGCTCGGCAACGCGAGCATGGTCGTTGAAGAACCGTTGAAGGAGCGCGTCGTACGCATATTGGCCCGTACCGCCCGACAAAGCAAGCTCTCGAAGGCCGCGCTGTGCGACAGCAGCGTGCCGAGTAGCAGCTCCACCCGCGACAACAAAGGACTCGAGATTGAGGCGCCAAGCAGGCTACAGCAGAAAGCCCCATCGGACACGCTGAGCCTGCGATTCAGTGGGTGGACTCGAAGCCATGCTTGGCTTTGTGCTCCGCGCGGGCTGATCTTCGGGCTGATCTTCGTTGGGTTCCTGCTACTGGCGGTGGGCGGTGGCGCGCTGGGTGGTGATCTCCTCACTGCTAGCTCCATCAGCGACAATGCACCTCCATCACCTCCACCCTCTTCACCTCCCGGCCCGCCACCCCCGGCACTGCCACCGCCAAAGCCTCCCCCGCTGTCGCCGCCGCCGCCGCCACCACCACCACCACCATGCACATGGGACTGGCAGTGCCGCAGTGCTGACTGCAACCAGCTGATGGTCGCGTGCAACAATGGCTTGTGCTTCATGGGGCAGCCCGACGAAAGGTGCGCGGGCCGACAAAACGGGTACGGCCTGCCCGACGGTGGCTGGTGCTGGGACGGGAGAAGGGATGCACAGTGTCGGCAGCGGGATTCAAGCATCGGGGCCGCGCGGCTTCAGCAAGTGTTTGAGCAGAGCGGCCTGCTCGTGCATTCTCTCGCCTCAGTCAACGACAACTGGGGCCTCGACCACACATGGCTGCGCCAAACGCTCCAAGCAACCTCGCTGAGACAGGTGCGTGCACGCACCGACTGTGGGCCATACTGCTCCGCGTACAGTCTGCTGCTGCCCTCGCTGCCTCTGATGGCATTTGGCTGGTATGGCGCGGGTGCCGCGTTGCTCTTCGAGGCGTCGGAGAAGGTGTGGCAGCACGCACAGTGCGCCGCGGTCGTGGATAGCAACTCTGCCAATCGCGCGTGCTGCTCGTGTTGGGAGCCTGAGTTTTGCCCATTTGATGTGCTCAAGCAGGCCCCGTACGACCCGGGCGGATACTGCCAAGCAGCCAAGCCCGCTACCGACGCCTCTGTCGAGGGCAGCGTCCCTGAGGTGATCAAAGCACTTCGCGCGGGCTGCGGCCACAACCTGCGCGCACTCAACGCGGCTGGCGAATGCGACGGTGCGAGCGTCCGTGGTGGCACCTGCTCTGCGTGCGGCCGGACGGCGTTTTGCGACGATGTGGGGGGGGCTGAGTACACGATGGCCACTTGGATGCGCTCTCACTTCCACGGGGGCGGCGCGCTTCAGGACGAGCAGTGCAAGTGGAGGCGCGAGCAGCGCAGCGCCTTTGTTGCCACCGCAAGTAGCTTCAGCGCCGCGCTCCACGCCGCGCCCAAGTCGCTCCGGCCTCAACCGCCACCGTCGTTTCATAATGAAGTCAACTTGTACATTGGAGGGCCTGGGGATGGCGGTGCCTCCCTTGACCTGATGGAAGCACTCGTTGGGCTCGTATCGATCCGCAACTTTGCCGGCTCGTCCAGGGGGTCGGAGCTTGAGACGCTGCAGCAGCTCGCCTCACATCTGCGCGCACTCGGCAAGAACATCGACGTCTTTGAGTTGACCATCGATGAGTTTGGCGAGGAGCACGGATTCCAGTGGTGGCGGCCAGGCGAGGCCATCGACTTGCGCGCGCCGCCGTACAGCCTCACCCAAGTACAGGCTTAAGGAGCCAAAAAGATGCCAACGTGCAATGTAATGGCCAACTTCAGGCCAAAGGCGCACTCGCGAAGGGCGAATTCATTTTATAGAGTTGGTGCATGATATTGGGCGGTTTAGACCATAGACATCTCCAGTAAGTTCTATCTTCTAACCGCGACCCCTAATCTACATACGGCTTTATAGAGAATACAGTGTTTGCCGCGGCGGCTCTTAAGAGATACGGATACGGGGAATCTACAGATACAGAGACTGGCATTGGAGATTGGTGTCTGGCGGTCAATCGCTTCGTCCCAAAACGTCCGTCTGACTTACCATCAGTTCTAATGCGAGCTTTTCTAGCACGCTCAGAGCGTGTGGGTGAGTGCGTATGTGAGTGTGAGGGCGTACACGTGGGGGGCGGAAGT